CCTTTCCTAACGGCTTGCCTTTGACAAGGTTTGTACTTGCGGTAACTGCGAGGGCTGCATGTGGGTGGTGGTACTTGGTTGAACAATAATATCTCGCGTTCCTGCTACAATATTCAACTCACCATTCAAATTAATTTTCTTAACACCATCTGCAAATTCGCATTGTGTTTCTTTTTCTTTCTTCCCAGTGGTCTCATTTTTAGCTGGAACACTTTCTGAAGAACATGAAGCACTGGAGAATACTATCAGGCTTTGTTCTTCCTTAGGTACTTTGGTTCTCTTGGGTTTGTCCAATGGACACATGTTGGGGCATGTCATGGAAGTTGAAGGAGTCGGTTCACTCAGCATGTCAATTATATTGAATGTGGGTGATGGTGTTAAGGCAGTCTGGCTAATAGATGAGTCATGGACTGGGTAATCAATGCTGAATGTCTCGTCTGCAAAAATTTTAAATTTATAAAACTAAAAATGAAGTATCTAAATACTAAATGATAAACGTGAAAATAATTTCTGTACATAGGTGGAATATTACTATCTCTACTAAAGCATTTTGTTCATCAAAGCAAATTTGATGAAACATTATTGTCTTAATTGAACTGTTAATTATAAAATTAGTATATTTGATAGTGACTCTGTAATAAGCCTTTAAAAGAGTGTTAGTAGACTTATGGTAATTAAAAATTATAAAAATATGTTGTATTTATATTTTCGTACCCAGTTTGCCGACAGATAAGTTAAAGTCAGTGATAAGATATGTGTATTCATCTAAAGTCTTCATGCACTTCAGGAACCTATCCTTCAGTTCTGATGGCTCACAATTTAATTGATGCACAAAGTTTTGAGCCTGAAAAATATGATCTATGTATATAACAAATCATTAAATAGCATTACAGTATGACACTAAACCTGAATTTGTCCCATTACAAATGACACTATGAGAATATTGCATTGTCACTTGGTTGCCAGAGCTGGTAGTGGAGTGATAGAACTAAATTGCTTTCTCTTTTTCTGTTGACAGCAAATGAGGATGAAACGAAATGATGCCAAAAGAATCTGTCATTAAAAAATTTAACAAGGCAAAACGCCTTAACATTAAAATTTCTGTGTAATTTACAAACATGACTTGAGTTTTATACAAAATTCCCAGTTTTTTTTTCTATATAAGACAATTACCACTAACAATTTGAAGATAAAATGAGAAGAGAAAAGAATAGAGATATGGAGAAGAAAAAATGAGAAACGAATAAATAGTCTCGTCAAGAAACTCTTTTGAAATATCCACCCGCAAAAAAATGCCGCAATTTCCTGAGAAACTTAACTCTTAACTTGCGGAAGCTAATTAGCCATCCATAAGAACTGGAAATAGGTCCGTCTCGGATACGCAACTTCCACAAATTAAGAGTTAATCTAACCCATAGTTATTACAGAAATGAAGATCGGCAGCACACAAGGGAGAAGAAATGACTTGGTATAATTGAGGAGCATCAGAACAAAAACCAATAAATTAAGTTTCGACCTGTGCTGCTCTTTAATGCCAAATGGTTGTTTTTGTAAGATACTGAACAACCACTAAATCTGCTTTAAAAATATGTTTTAAAGGTTGCATCTGATCACAATGTCCTTTCCATGAGACTGGACAAAATTAGAATTGAAATTTATCAGATTAAATAATTTTTTGTTCCAAAGCACAAGTAAACAGGATTCAGGTTTCTAATTACAGTGTTACTTTTGTACCTATAGAAGGTATGTTGGCATAGTTTTCTGAATGTTTATCTTTAACATTGCACTCTTATCTTTACATTGGGGTTGGGACAAACTGTGCAAGTGCAAAATGAACTTTTATATGTTGTGTACAGTTTCCAGAAGAGAATTTTATGGTTCAAATTAACTATTAATTATCATTCATATGAAAGTTATTTTATTGGTGAATATGTTTGAGGGTATGCACAAAAAAGTTGGTAATTTCTTATTTGTTCAAGATGCTACTTGGTCACAACCTCCTATCTCACAATTATTATCGATTATACATATTTTTAATTACGAAGCTCGTTACCGAGTTATAATATAATTAATACTTCAAAAAGGATAATAACTTGACAATACCTGCATTTTTAGTTTCACGATATCCTTGACGGCTTGATCGCATTTTGTTACGAAAATATTGATTCTGGCTTCCATTTCGTTTCGCCGGTGTAACGCCAATGTGGCAAGGTCTATAAAGCTCCTGAAGCAAAAATTTTATCTACTCAACAAAATTATCATCAAAAATTGCAAAATATGCATAAAAACTTTGAAAGTGTCTTACATTTTCCCCAAAGTATAACTTCCAGAATTTTTCAAAACAATTGATGTTTACACATCGTATTTCATTCAACAGATATTTTTTAGTATTTCCAGCACTCTAGAAACGTACTTTGATAATATAATAACTTTTCAGATGAAAACAAATCAAATCAAACCCGAACCAACAAGTTCAAATGAGTGAGTGGTGAGTGGCAAAACTTACTTTACTCTTTGGTGAGTGAGTAGCAGAGTAGCAAGATTTTTTTTTTAATTAATTGCTGGCCATGAAAACAAAGTCCTTCAGCCGAAAACATAAACGTTTAATTATATTTCTATAAATATGGCCACCACAAAGAGGATAGGCAATTTGAGGCGGCGTGCTTGGATTGACTCGGGATTCCTCAGAACGGACCGATACGGGTATTTTAGTTCGAGATTCGTATAATTTCGCGTTTTAATCTTCGATTAAGGCACAATAGCACTATCCTATTCCACTTTAAACTAGATTTCACAAAATAATTGAAAGTCAAAATAAAAACGACACTTTTCCCTCCAAAAGGCCCAGAGCGAATCCAGAGTAGCAAGCAAAGCAACAATGTCGTCAGACTTTGCGAAGTTAATTCGCCAATTTATGTGTGTTAAGTAGCCGATATTCGCCCAAGCTATAAAATCCCTAAAAATCAAGGATTGTTGTTCCTACAATTCTGCTTGCTGCTGGACATTGAGGAATATGAACTCTCTTATTTTCCCAATTCACCACTCGTAGAAATACTCAAAGTGTTATTTTACAATTCTATTCCCCACAAAATACCCAATAAAATTTGTAATTCCCCAGACATTTTATTAAGTAGCCTAAAATCGCCTTTTCCTATTTCAAACACTTTTTTTAGTGGCCGCGCGACCCCTCTAAGTAGCCTAAATGGCGAAAAATTGCCCAATCTGGCAACACTGCAAAACAATACTAATGAATGGAAAGAATGAATGAAATGAAACAAAAAGTGGTTGAATTTTTTAATTTTTAACATTTCGAATACACGTATTCCCTATAAATAATGCAATTTAATAGTTTTTTTAAGGATGAAAGGAAAAATTAATTTGTGGCCCGTCTATATGATCGTGCATCATAATTTAGCAAATGTGAAGGGAAAACGGATTTGCAAACTGTACAATTTGCAAGTAAGTGGTTTGGACAAGCTAGCAGAGTTATTATAACTTATTATTAACACTTATTAGAACTTATTATTAACACTTATTAGAACTTATTATTAACACTTATTAGAACTTATTATTAACACTTATTAGAACTTATTATTTACGTTAGTTATTATTTTAGCATCAGAAATAATCTTGGTTTACATGTCAACGTTCGTTGCGCACATGAACTTTAGTACAAAATCTGTTTGCCACGTGTATATTTCTTTTTGTTTATCCAACAGCTTGTGTAGGTTTACATAACTTTGACTAAATTAAATTCGATATTCTATATTGAAATGCACATTATAGATAAGTATTATATTGCTGCCACAACTACAAAGTTATACTACGGTCGCACCATACTAGACTTTTCGTAAATAAATGTCCCCATTTGGCAGTGGCCTAAACGCAAACTGCGAAGCGTCAGAAACAAAAAATGGGTTCTAATTTTAATAAACTTAAACAAATTTCATTCCATTATTCCTTATTTCTGAAATAAGGAACTATTATAAAATTTTAAACGACTGTTTGGTTTCTAGTGCTGCCACCTATTGACAACTTTTACTACTAGTTAACATATCATTGTGTCGTACCTCATAGTTATAGCTACTCTACAAGAGATGACCTTTTATGTTTAGTTATGCTAGTCATTGATAGATGTCAACACTTATTAAACTTTACTCTGAAAAACTTTCGAAAACTTTTTTTTTATAATTTTCACTAACGACGACGTCCTAACATTAGGAGCTATAAGTACTGTAGGTTTACAACATGGTTCTTAGAGATATTATAATTTTGTGAGGAGAAAAGTAGGAATAACGAGGTTACCTTAATTAAACTCCTTTTACATCTTAGGTACCATGTAGTTTTCAGGTAATGGTGAAAAGGTCCCAAAGCAGCCATACTCATTAATCGCGCGCCTGCGAGTTACGCACTACGTTTCAATTAAAAAGGGTAAACTGAACAAGAGCCACATAATAAATTCAGGGCACCCGCTCTCGCGCGGTACTAATTGGATTCCGTGGCCCGGGCAACCAATTAGTGGGAGAGAGACAGAGGCTGCAGGGGTGGTGCCTTTGGGAAGAAAATGTGTTTCTGATCGTGTACAGACAGCTGCACAGTTTTAGTATGCTGTTGCTTATGCATTGTAAGAGTAATCTATTTTTATTTGGACACCTCAGCAAATCGCCCACTTTATTGACATAGTAATAGGGTAGGTTGGTGTAAGTGGCGCGGGCGATAAGTTGGCGCATTAGTGATTGACTGATTCTGGAATGAGGTTCGCGTCTAATGTCAGTCGTAGTTTTGTTATATTTATACAGTATAGTTTTTATGTCAATAAGTGTTCGCAAAAAAATATTCAATTTGGATACAAAACGCTGATTGCAGGTAAGTTCAAAGATTTTAACTACTTTTGATCTAATTTTATTGTAATTTCAAATTATTGTCATTCAAAATATTTCCAGATATTCAGTGTTTCGACTTGATTATTGATCAAGTCTTTCACATTGGCTTAAAAAAGAAGAACTTCCGACTTTTGATAAGAGATGGTGTTAGTATATTAATTTCTTTACTAAGGCAAAATCTGTAAGTTGGCGCACTGGGTGGGTGTACAAAACGGCACGCGCCAACTTACAAAACCTTATTTGAATGTTTGGAATCTGGACTTGTTTTTAGAGATTTTATTTTATTTAATTGCAGAATGTAAAGGCGCGAAAAGAAGAGTGATAGTCAATCATGGACTCCTACTGTTATAGCAGAAGCGCGTAAGATCTTCGACCAAAAAATAGTAAAATATCTGTGACAAAATCTAAAGGAATGCCAGAATCCACGTTGAGAAGGCTATTGCAAAAAATGTAACCAACACTCAAAATACCTAAAAAAAATCTTTCAAAGCACCAAAGAAAAGTAAAACAAAGACGGTTTGGACATGTGCTGGGTGTTAAGAAATATACAAGGAAACTATCGGAGAAGTCTAGACTGAATGCTCTGTTTGTCAGGAAAGGTTCTATTTAAATGTGTCATGTGTTTTCAATAATTGATGTGTAAATGACAATGTATAAGGTGCGTCATCTTATAAACTTTGCTGCGCCATCTTACCCGCAGGGTTGTGTAAAAGTGCGCATTTCTTATTTTTTAATTTTTGGTTTACATTCACCTAATGATATAAGTTGAGATCTTTTTATAATTACGTTTTTATTATCAATTACTCAAAGCTCAAAAATAAATGCAGTTGATTGTGATACTGTTCCTTTTAATTTTTTTATGGCTAGTTGTTTCAAAAGTACGTATTTTTTGGTAAAATTGTTTTTATCATCAGTACCTTAGAATAATAACGCATAGAAACCTAGCCCGCACACGCTCAGTGAGGCAAGTTAGAGGCTTCCAAACGCGCTCCCAGGAGCGCACGGGCTGTTAGTGCTCAAGGTCATATTGCACCGCGAACAGCTCCAAAATTTTTTGCTAAAAATGACGAAATGTGCGGTAAATGGGTGTAAAAATACAACAGACAAACATAAAATAGACACTAACATCGCATTCCACAAGTATGCGTTTCAACTCATATTTTTATGTAAATATTCACTAAAACAGAAAAATAATTTCGCGGCAACAAGATACGAAAGTGTTGCAAAGTAACGAATTTTTTCTCCCCATTTTGCTGTTCTGTTTCAAAATAATTATATTACGTAAATTTTAGTGGCGCCTGTAATTTCGATTTATTTGCGCATCTTGAACAATAATATTTACTTGAATAAACATTAAATGTTTTCGTTAACTTGTGATGAAAGTGATTGGGACACTTAATTATTTTATAATACTTTTAACGGCTCTGCGTTCATGCTTTATTGAATAATTATTTCTTTTAATTTTATTTGAATAGGAGCACATATTGGAACAAATTTACAGTATATATTTGTTTCTACTATAGTGTTGGCACCACCAGTACAACTTTGATAGCTTATTATATATCTTTCTTTTTGTAATTCAAGCGAAATTATATTTTTTATTGAAATATTTAATTTTTTAAAAGGGGAGCATTCTTAAGCGATTTTTTAATCTATTTTAACAGTTATTTTCTTTAATGTCTGCTTACGGCATTTTCGGTTTTAGGTTTCCTACTCATCCAATTATTGCTGCTCGTTGGATCGAAAAAATTAGACTCAACCGTAATGCCAAGTGTTGGAAGCCTGGTAAAAGTACCAAAATATGTTCTATTCACTTCGACGACAAAGAAAAGTATAGTACTAAAGGTGGCTTGTGCAAATTAACTCGAGGCGCTGTTCCAAATAAGGTTTAAAAAATATTTTCATCATAAATTGCTAAAATGCTTTTTTAAATTGCTGACTTTCTAATAATTCTATCTATATTCTAGGTTCTGCCCATTTTTTATTTGGAAGACGAAGTTTATAGCGATGAGATACGCGATCACCACGATCTTCAACTACCGCAACCGGTTAGTTTTCAACGATGCACGAACGATGAAAAAGTGTTACACTCATATTATAATTTAAGTTGTACTAGATCAATCTGTGACCTATGAGTATTGGTTTATTATAGTTACATTATATTTTTCGGGGTATCTCTCGTGATATTATCAATACTCCATTCTCTTCAGATGGATTAGATTCTATATTCGACACACCAAGAAAGGCTTCCCTCCGGAGAAATTAAAAAAAAAAAGATCATACGTCTGAAGACACAAAGCAGGAAAATTAAAACCCTTTTGCAAAAAAATCGCCGTTTGAAGAAAAAAAAACCACACACTACAAAATATTTTAGTCCAGCTAAGAAAAGAAAGATTCATTAATAAGGATATCTCAAACATTTTATCAGAAAATATTTTTGCTGCACAATTATATAATAGTATGGCCTTAAAAATTTCAAAAAATAAAAAACTGCCTATGCCAAATTGTGGTGTATATTACACCACAATTTAGAAAGTTTTGCCTAACATTGAATTTTTACTCGCCCCGAGCGTATGCCTATGTTCGAAAATCATTCAATACCTGTGTTCCACACCCCAAAACTATATACAGCTGGTATAGAACCATAAATGGTTCCCCTGGATTAACCGACGAAGCCTTTAAACTTTTAAAATCTAAAGTGCAGTACACAGACAAAAAATTAGTATGTGCTTTAGTGGCCGATGAAATGGGAATTAGGCCGCAAAATTTGAAAGGAGGGCATGGAAGAGTGGACTTGGGAACAGGCACATCCGACTGTACCACGAAGGCAACAGAAGCTTACACTTTCATTCTTGTATGCTTGAATGAACACTGGAAAATCCCCTTAGGATATTTTTTGGTTCATGGTCTATCGGGAGGTCAAAAAGCTAACCTGATAAAAATATGCCTTACAAAATGCGAAGAGGCAGGCGTAAAAGTGGTTTCTCTAACATTTGACGCTCACGCAACCAATATTTCAGCTATGGAACTATTAGGTTGTGGAATAAGAAACCCGGAGAATATGAAAACTACATTCAAGCATCCAGCAGCAGACTACGACGTGGCGGTATTTTTGGATTCCAGTCACATGATAAAACTGGTTAGAAATCATTTCGAAGACAAAAAAGAATTTTTAGATCAGGACGGAAATAAAGAGGACTGGGGGTTCTTGACAAAACTCAACGACATGCAAGAAAAAGAAGGATTGCACCTTGCCAACAAACTAACTCGAAAACACCTCGAGTTTAGGAACTCTATCACGAAAGTAAAATTAGCTTCTCAGCTATTGAGTAGGAGTGTGGCAGTTGCATTGAAGTTTTGTCGAGAAGTATTAAAATTGAACGAATTTAAGGATAGTGAAGGGACTGAAAAGTTTATTATGATTTTCAACAACTTATTCGACATTTTTAATTCCAGAAAGCTAACACAACACGGTTTTTGTCATCCCCTGTCCAATACTAATAAGAATGAAATATTTAATTATTTAGATAAAGTTAAAATGTACATACTTAACCTCCAGATTAAAACTACGAGGAAGCGGAAATATAAGGAAAACCAAAATTATATAAAACTTAAAATCAAGAGCTTTCAATCTACCCTTATTGTGAAGTGCTCCTCTGGGTTTAAGGGATTGCTTGTTTGTATAGAGAGCCTTAAGCATTTATTTAATACCTTAGTGGAAGGCACAAACGAACTCGATTACATTGCCACTTACAGATTCAGCCAAGACCATATCGAGCTACTTTTTGGGTCGATAAGGATGCATGGTGGACACAATGATAATCCAAACGCACCACAATTTAAGGGTAGTTATAGAAAATTACTTTGCCGCATGGAATTGCAAGTTAGTGAAACTGGAAATTGCGTGCCACTAGAAAATGTTGCCATTTTGACTTGTTCATCTGCTTTGACCTGCATTAACACTACAACGTTTTCAGAGAGATTTGATGATGCAGGTGAAGAAATTAAACAGTTATGTAAAACACCAATTGAAGATGTTGTCGACTTTGAAATTTCGTCGTGTAATGATGATCCTTATTATAAAAATAATATTGTTGGCTATATAGCTGGGAACGTAGTGAAGCATGTAACTAGCCGCGTAAAATGTGTATTTTGTGTTAACAATATGTTGGCAAAAGACAAACTATGGTTTCATAAATTGGTATGTTTAAGGGATCAAGGTGGATTAATTTATGTATCAAAGGAAGTTTATTCTATATGCAGTGTTGCTGAAACTTGTATGCGAAATTATATCAAACAGAATCCGGGTGGCAACTCAGAGAAAGAATTAACCGTTCGGGTAATGACCAAACTCATTGGCAGGCCTCTATTTCCTACAGTGGAAGAGCACATAAATTCACAGTATCACGACACAAATTTGACAAGGCTTATTGTTGAGCGATACTTAAGTATTAGATTTTTCTACGAATCCAAAAAAGATAATATTTCTCAAATTGTGGCATCGAAACGACAATTGTTTAGAAAACAGTTACAGCTGCAAGGTTATTAAGACATTTAAGTGATATAGTTATTGACATATTTATTATTATACATATTATTACATACATATTTATACATATTATTTTAATATTAGGGGTTAAAGTATGAAATTGCCGTTTTATTGCAATAGGTTCTTTGAATTTTCATAGAATCTTCATGGTTTGAGGTTTTCGAATGAAACTTTTTTCAAATGGTTTCTGTGATTTTTTTTTTTAATTTGAAACATTTGAATATCGACTTTCAATTGTTTTTGTTATTCAATTTAGACAAGAAAGATGGATACTGCGAAAATTCGAGTGATTTTTGAATACGAGTTCCGACGCGGAACTAACGCGGCAGAAACAGCCCGCAATATCAATGCTGCGTTTGGAGAGGGGTCTACTAATGAACGCACCGTGCGATTTTGGTTTAAACGCTTTCGTGATGGAAATTTCGACTTAAAGAACGAGGCACGAGGAAGACCGCCGACGACACAGGTGAATAACGATGAATTAAGAGAGATAGTGGAAGCCGATCCTAGTCAAACTACCCAGGAATTAGCGGCATGGTTTAACGTTACCTTACCCACAATATTGACTCACTTGCGTCAAATCAATAAAATAAAAAAATACGAAAAATGGGTGCCTCATGATTTGACTGATCTGCAGAAAGAAACGCGTGTTGAAATTTGTTTTGCCTTGTTGAACCGGTACAGAAATGAAGGAATATTGGATCGAATTGTAACATGTGATGAAAAGTGGATTCTTTATGATAACCGGAAAAGAAAAATGCAATGGCTGACCCCAGGTCAAATGCCACAACAGTGTCCTAAAGCAAAACTTACCAATAAAAAGGTAATGGTAACTATTTGGTGGTGTCAGCATGGTGTTATTCACTATAGTTTTCTCCGATCTGGTCAAGCAATAACGGCAGATGTCTATTGTGCCGAACTCCGAACCATGTTGACAAAACTAGCAGTAAAACAGCCCCGACTCATGAATCGATCTTCACCATTATTGTTCCACGACAACGCGAGACCTCACACAGCACGAGAAACCATTTTGACCCTTCAGGAACTGCAGTTAGAAACCATTCGTCATCCTCCGTATTCACCAGACCTTGCTCCAACGGACTACCATATTTTTCGTGATTTGGACAATTATCTACGTGACAAGAAGTTTTCTTCCCAGGAGGCAGTACAAAATGCTTTCACACAGTTTGTGCAGTCTAGATCGTCGGAGTTCTATCGCAAAGGCATCAATAACCTTCCCATTAGATGGCAGCAATGTATAGATAATAATGGCAACTATTTTGATTAAATAAATTTGTTAAAAATTTAAAAAATAAACAATTTAGATTTTCAGTACAAATCGGCAATTTCATACTTTAACCCCTATTATATATAAAAATTAATAAAGTTTTCCCACTTTCATTTCCTTAGGTTCTTAGGACCTTTAATTTCTTCCACCAGCGATTTTTGAGAATAGGCAATGTCGCGGCGGTTGAAGAATTTCTACAAATGTACACCGCCGCGACAACATTTTAGGGAATTTACGATAGCTATTTTTACGGAGTATATTTAGTATTTGCTTTCATTAGTTTCATGTGAATTTCATTATTCTTTCATATAGGACTCATTTAAAAAAAATTGTCTTGCCCAGACTCAAAGTTCTTAACTAAACTTATTTCAGGGAACTAACACTGACTAAAAAAGTCATCATCAGTTCTCCAAAGTCGTGTATAAATAACTTTCAGACTCAGGTTCTTTATTATTATCATTCGTTTTCATGTGTTTATCCACGGCTAATATCAGGCAATTTATATATCCAAATTTTCATGAACTAATTTCGATAGTCGCACTTCGACTAAAATGAAAATCGATAGTCGCACTTAAACTCGCTATTAGGTTTTTGTTCACATATGAATTAAATAAAAATTGACTGGTATTTATTAACTGAATGATGAGTTAAGCAAGAGACAATTTCCCCACTTTTAAGGGAAATGTTATTCCATGGCATCATTATTTGTATATCTGTGTGAGTGTCAAGGAGCGTAAATACAAGTTGCTTGCGCCTACATAAATTTGATTTTTGCCTCACTTGTGACAGTTCAGCTGATATGAAACTATCATTCTGTGCGTTATTATTCTAAGATTAGTATATTTACCAGTTGAAATAGGATCTGACCTTTTAGTCTGATCTTTTAGCCTGTAAGTATAGTATTTTGAAATGCCCTTGTTATAGAGCCGATTGGGCGACATGTAGTATATTAAAAATACTTAGTTTTCTTCTTAGCAGTATACCCTTCCCATCATCGGGGGATTAGGCATACGCTGGGGTTCCACCCCTATGTTGTGGATATTTCAAGAATTCGCACGACTCGCTTCCACATTTCCATGGCGAACGGTTATGGAGTGGAATTCCCTGCCTGTAGACTTGTACCTTGAACGTTATAACTTGGACCTTTTTAAGCCGAGAGTGAGTAGGCATTAGGTGTGGACGCTCCAACGTCGATTTCATCGTCACTTTCCATCAGGTGAGATTTAAGTCAAATGCGCACTTATTTTTTA